CTCTACTCAGCATAGTACAACAAAAATAGGTTGCAAGATTAGTAATGCTGTTTACACCAAATTCCTGCCCTATCTGTGTTATGTAGCTTAAATATAGTAACAGACCATTTTTTGCCTCTTTTTAGGTGTCATGAGGGAAAATTAGTCATCCTCAACATTTGTTGTGTTGTGGTTTTAGAATGATGAAGACAGCTGGAGAACAATTAGATACAAAGTAGGAAGCAGGCTTGCCGTGGCAGTTGGTGTTATCTGTGTTACATGGTGTTGAAGCATACACCGATTACATTTCCTGCCCACTGCCCCCAATCTCGTTTTCCTTTCCTTTTGTTTTTTTTTTTTTAAATCAAGTCCGATGGACGCAACAGTTAACTGAAAGTGTCTGTTCTGCACATCAGCAGAGTCACAGCAGAGAGTAGCAGAAGTCAGATTCCACTTATCACATCACAAGAGTAAAGAGAGTTGACTGACTAGACGATGGTGAAGGGTGTCTGTTTGGCAAAATTTTAGATGGGAACCCAATGCTAGTAGGTAACATTAACGAGGGAAAGGAGCTGGTTACATCACTAAGAAATTGGAGGTGGGCAGCCTATCACCTGCAACTTCATCTAACAGCTTACTCATCTGCTCTTTCTTGTTCAGTTACTTCCTGCAAAATTTCAAACTGATTGGCTGTCAACAAATGCCAAAAATGGCTGTTGTCTTGTTTTGTAGACACATTTTTGATGAACAATAGCTCTACTGCTAATCTCACTGGAGAACACAGTGCCTTTCCTGTGACTACTTCATCATTAAAGTCAAGTTTTAAGACATGTTTTCCAGTTAAATGCTTTTAATGTAAAGCTGTAGCAGCAGAAATTGGTTGGATTACTTTAGCAGTAATTTAAATCAGAGCTGTACAGATAGGAGTGCCACTGATGATTATCTTTTCTTGTAAAATATCTGGTGTAGTCAGTGATACCGGCATTGTCGCAAGTTTATTAACCACTGGGAAAATTTCCTCATAGTAGCATCCCTCACAGGATCTAGGCTTTACAGGTTGTCTTTTTTTTCAACTATCATGTTTTATCCAAGTAATGTGCAGATGTTTAGGCATTCTACTCTCTGAAATGTTGCTGTGATGTGAATAGGAAAAAAAAAATCTCCCTTGAGAAGCAAGCCCCCAGACCCCCCTAAGGTTGTGCTGAGCAATGAACATTTACAGTGTCTGGCTCCAGTTGGACCACCTTTGGTGCTGATAGCAGCTGCCATGCTTTCGTAGCAACTTTACAACAGACATGTAGAGTCCTAGCCTGATAATCAGACTGAAAATCAACAACACCATGGTTTGCCATTAAATAAGTATGTTTTTAGTAATATGACGTGTACCTATGACGCATTACCTACATCACTAGCATAGCATGCTACACATACTATCATACTAGGCTACATTGTTATTAAAAGAAGTCAACAGTGACTTCAGGATACGAGCTCTAGTCTCTTGAGTGAAAGTACTGTGTTTGCTTGACCCATCCACAACTGCTCCCTTCTTTGGTATCTGTACGATAATACATTAAACAAAGTATGGGTCAATATAAGCTGCTCGCACAGTCGCCCCATGTTGGCGTTTTTGTCCCTGAGTGTGGGCGTTTTCACAATAATTGAGGACATTTGCAGACTATAGAGTTGTTTTCTGTTTGTGTGCTTACAAGACCCTACAGCTGCATCAGTCTTATACATGCTTGTGCCACTTTTCTGTTGCTCTTTTTCAAGGAGGTGGCTCCAGGGGGGGTCAGTTGCTATGGAGGAAGATGGCATTTAGAGTGTAAGCCAGTTGAATGCCCTCCACACTATAACACCTCCCCCACTGACCTATACAGCTGTAACCATACATGATGGGTCCATCACCTCATGTTGTTTACGCATCACTGCCAGTCTACCATCGATGTGGCGTAGTTGGCACGAGGATTTATCAGACCAGACAACCTTCTTCCACTCATCGACAGTCTAGAGCTGATGTTTCTTATCTCACTGTAAATGCCTTGGGCGGTTTACCGTGAACAGGAGAGCTACCCCGCTCGCTCGTCTGTTGTTATACCCCATACAGACGAGACTGCACCAGATTGTGCGCTTGGAAATTGATTGCTGTATCCCACAATTGTACTGTGATGTTAGGTGTCATACTGTGGACCTTTGATAACTTGTTATGGCCCCAGGCGCCCGACGTCCCCCACATTCATCTTCCAAGGACGGCCTCCCTAAATAGCAAGGGTTTTGAAGAGGTGCATATTGTGCAGCTTTGTGATTGTCAAAGCTCCTGGCACCCACAAATAAAGTCTGTAACATCACACGAAATGAATCAGTTCACATCCAAAGCAACCGTGGAAATGGAGTTGTGGCTGCTGCATGTACTTGTTTATGTAAAAGTAAGGGAGAGTTCACTTTTTCTGCAGAGACAGAGTGTTTCTTCTTCTGGTCACTGAGTATACATTTTTACTTCTGGAGCCTCTCTTTTGAAACCTTTTGGAGAAACAAACCGGATGGTGTGAAGGCCCTGCTGTGACCTGTGGGCCCTACCTGAGGCAGTGCTGCTTTATATTCTCCCTCCTGCCTTGAGTTCGTTCAGTGCACTGCAGTGTGAATGTCACTGTTGAGTGTCATCACCGCAGACAGAGACCTTGTGTTCCTTAAGAACAACCCTGACGCGAGAGTCGCACATAACCAGGACAAACCAGAGTGGTTGGATGATTTACTCTCAGACAGACAGCAACAACAAAATTCCTCACATTCATCGAACATCAGCTGTCATGTGTCATCTCTTATCACGACCCTTGTTTTGTTTTACTTGTGGCCAATTACTGTCTCCCCCATATACAGCAAACTCCAGACAGGGCCTTAACGTCACAGTGAAACAGCATTTTTAAGACATCTTGCCTCTTTAATTTGATGTATTTCCCCTTGAAATTCAATTTGATTTGATAGGAGACGATATGCTGGCTGGAATTTTTACGCACTGGGATATTATGATGACAACATAATAAAGCATAAGTAATGGAATTTTGATAGACAAACACCAGATTTTTGTCAGTTTCTGGGCACAATTTGTCAAATAGATATATTTTTTCTTGTATCAAAACAAGTATTTTTCAACTTTCCAGCATCACTCTAAAGGGGACCTGTTATGCTTCTCCCTATTTTCTGTCATATATACAATGTTACAGCAAAGGATGTTTATATTAAACATGATCAAAGTTTCAAATAATGAGGTAAACAAATGGAAAAGTAATGACCTGTGAGCAAAAAACTCAGTTATGTCAACTTATGACAGATTTCTTTATCTGTTCATCTGCTCCAGACACGCTGCTGCAAGTATTTACATGACATAGCATACACTGCTACATATAACTACATGCTAACATCAGGTAAACATGTCATCTTGGTGGTAGATGTGTGAATTTCGGTTCGATTTTGGATCATATTTCATATGTTTTTATACGGTAGAAAGTGCTGCTATACTCTATCACAGTCATTCCCCAGCTGCAAGTACACTGCTACATGTAGCTACATGCTAACATCAGCAAAACATGTAATCTTGGTTGCTGATGTTGTTCATTTCTCCCCGCTGTTGGATCATATTCCTGCTGGAAGATGTCCAGTTGTGGAGATTTTGGTTTAGAGGCTTTAATTGGTGTTTTTACACGGTGTGAAGTGCCGCTATACTGTGTTACAGTCATTCCCCAGCTGCAAGTACGCTGCTACATGTAGCTACATGCTAGGTAAAATGGACTCTTCGTTAATGGTGTTTTTAATTTCTTCCCAATTTCAGATCATATACCAGACAGAGCATGTTCATTTGTGAAGATTTTGGTTGAGTAGCTTTTATTTGTGATTTTTCATAGTAGAAAGTGTTGCTATATTCTGTTACAGTCATTCCCCAGCTGCAAGGATGTAGCAAGAGTGCAGATACAGAAGACGTAGAAATATTGACCAATCAGAACAGACTGGGCTTTGTCAGGAGGGCTACATAAAGAGACAGGTGCTAAAATAGAGCATTACAGACAGAGGGTGAATTCAGGTGTTCCAGTACAGACCGTATGAGGAAAATAACATGTTTTTTGAACATGAAAACATGTAAACATGTTCTAGTAGAAACACAAAAAACAAGTATGAACCTGAACATGAACATAATAGGTCCCCTTTAAGCTGTCAAACGCAAATAATTTCCTAATGATACAATATAACTTCAGTGTGACGCATCTCAAAGCTTTAAACTCTTCCATTAGTTCACCTACATCTCTCTTTTATGTCTGATGGGCTAATGTGACTGACGTCAGGAAGAAATTGCAGCTTTCTTCTGCAATTTTATTACTTGTTAGAAAAAAACAAGGTTTTTCTGCCATCTCAAAGCAGCCAGCCCAGGTTGTTCTTGTAGTTGTGTAAGCAACAGAGCTCTGTTTGGTTCCTTCTGCTTTATTTTGCCATGTAATAACCCTCTAGATATAATGGGAAACATTATGTCAAGACACAGCGTAATGACTCAGTGTAATCCACTTTTTACCGAATAATACAAAATGTGTTCTCCCAGCTTTTTCTCCGTCTTCTCCCTCCAGCTAATGTTCTGTTGTGTCTAATCAATGGCAAGGCCATAGTAATTTGGTTTGATTGAAATCCCTCTAGGATAAAAACATCATTAGTGTGAAAAGAGGAATACATGGAGAAAAAAAAACAGATCAGAAACAAAAGTGTTTTTAATTTTCCATCCCACGGGGGAGAATGGCCATATGTAGCAGTGCTGATGATAATTGGTGGTTTGTTGATAATTGCATCATGTCTTTTCTCTGCATATGTTAAAGCACAATTTGCATGCATCACACATTGCCTTTAGATTGATGAATTAATAATGTAGTAATGGTTCATTTCCTTCTGTCTGGCACAGACACACACACACTGTGTCTCTCGCTCTTTCACACTCTTCTCTTTTTCTCATTTTTTCTTATTTTCTCTCTCTGTGACTTTCTCTCCAGATGAGTTTAACCCCGAAGTTCCCAAACTGGAGAAAAGCGTCAGTGGCAGCAGCCCTTCACATGACCGCCTTCTTCTCACCGTGGCGATGCTGCTTGTGTCTGCCGTCCTTTTGTCCTAGCGACTTGTCACCGTGAGTGACACTTCATGCATAGCTGGGACCGCCTTGTCCAAAGGGCTTTGTATCCACCGAGTTGTTGATGTGAAAGTTGGCAGAAACACAGAAGAAGAATCAAGCAGAGGTGCAACAGAACCACAATCAAAAGGACACAGGAAGAACATCCTTGAACTTAACTAGACTTTAAAAAGGAGAGGCCTTTTTGCTGTCATATTTACACCAGTGTATTTTGACACTCCATGTGTTGTTGGACGTCATTATCATATGAATACCACGGCATTTCATGCAGGTGTGTTTGCCACAACATGGAGACCACAACCAATATTTAGAGTCAGACTTCTGTGCTGCTGTCATGCTGAAAGTGGACTCGTAATGAGGTAGAGTACACACTCTTATTGTAGCATGGATATTAAAATCACCTGAGGAATTAAAGCTGCACTGTCTTTAGCTGAAGAAAGCAAGGTTTTTGGTGACTGTATGCTTTGAAGAGGATGGCAAACTCTACAGTGGATTTTTAGACCTTGGACCATGGACCATGTATGCTGATGGATAAAACTCAACGTTAATGTAGTCAAAAAAAAAAAGCAAGCTGGACTCTGGACCTGTACTGATGTTCTATAGGGGATATTTATATAATCAGTCAGTGATGAGAACTGCTGCCATTATCCTGGACATTGAAGAATGTTTTCTCACTGGTGAGAGGGAGCTGCTGGTAATAAGAGCCCAAGGTGTTTCTTTCTTAAGAAAAGGGAAAGACTTTGTGAGGATATCCACGGGTCTTTCAAGAATCCATTTTCACCAGACATCAAAAATACCCCTGGCTTTGTGATAGGTACAGATGCAAAGCCTGCATTTCTTAGAAGATAGCGAGTGCTCTCTTAGAACTAGTCCTTTGTCTGTATTTCCTGCCTTCACACTGTAACAACCCTAGAAAAATACAGACCCTGGACTAGTAATTTGACAGCACTTAGACGTGGTAGATGTGTGTTTTGTTCCGATGCATTTACCCTCAGCACTTCGCGTAGATTTTCCGGATGTCAAACCTTTCTCTTCGCAGCAATCAGCAGAGTCATTCAGAATACCACTAATTTACAATTCTTAAAAAACCCTCTCTCTCCGCAGCAAGTTCCCTTTTAATCCCAGACAACCCCATCTATTCCTTTTCCACTTCAGAGGTTCCCAGCCAATCAGTGCTGATGGCCATTACAGCAGTCACAGTCACCATGGAAACGACCCCATACAGTCGCCAGAGTGCGGCAGGTGCCTGAGGAGAAATTGTGCTTTGAGTCTCAAAGTAACGCTGCCGCCATTTTGTAAAAAAAGAAAAAAAAAGTAAAGAAAAAAACAACAACAACACGTGTGAATGTGCAAATAAAGAGAAGTTCACTTTTTTATATTGTTATACAGGACAACGTAGGCTGGCATTAATCAGATTACAATGTTGTGCTTTTTTAATTTATTTACTTTTAAGATGTATTTATTTTAACATTAAAGTATATTATTTATCTACCTAATTTATTAATGTGCATTTGTAGGCCTTTGCTCAATAAGCTATTGTGCCATTTTGTTATTCTTTTTTTTAAACAGTGGAATTTTTACTGCAGCATTTTGCCTGTGTAGATAAATAGGCAGATGTAATTCAGCCTGACAAAAGCAGAGGGTTGTTGGTTATGACTAATCAGTGGGGATGTACACTCAGTAACCCTACTCTCATGTAACAGATACTGCTAACCAGATTATGTTGCAGCAGCGCATGTCATAAACCAACTGTGAATGCACAGACAGAGCCGATGTTTATAGAAGGGCAGCATTCCTCAAGTGCTGCACTTGCGAAACGAAGGAGTCTGCATTGTAATGTATATTTATAATACATGCCGGTTATGGAATGTGCGTGCGTGTGCACAAGCGTGTACGAGTGTGTGAGTGTGTGGCTTTATCTGCCTGCTTTCCTGCGTGTGTGCGTGTGTGTGTGTGTGTGTGGGAGTGAGCAAGAGAAAAAACATATGTGTGCACATTTGTGTGCGTATGTATGTAGAATGTGTTTGTCCGCGCTTTTCGAGTATGTTGCATTTAGAAATTTCGTACCCGTTAAGGAGTCGTTTGTAGGATCTGAATATGCAAGTGTGTATGAGAGATTGTGCTCTTCTGTAATGTTAGTTTGCGTTACGGGGTTTGGGAAGTGGGCAAAAAGCATTTACTGGTGTTGAAGACAACCACAAGAAATGTGTTTACCTTTGACAAGAATGATTAAAAAAAACCTGTAAATTGATCCAAGAATGATTAAAACAATGCTGATTAAAATCTTTTTGCAAATTTACTTTTGTGTATTTATCTATAAGTGCACAACATACTAATTGTAGGGGAGACTGCGATGGTTGTAACATTTTTGACATTTCTGTCTGTATCTTGGAGCTTTTTTATGCAAGTGCATTCAAAATTTGATACAAGCCTATCCCAGCTGACATTGGGAGAGAGGCAGGGTACATCCTGGACAGGTCACCAGACTATCACAGGGCTGACACATAGAGACAGACAACCATTCACGCTCACTCAAACCAGGAACCCTCTTGCTGTGAGGCAACAGTGCTAACAACTATACCGCCGTGCCACCGTGTAACATGAAATAAGGATTATGACAAAACTTAAGACATTGAAGGCTTTTTATTCAACACTAAAATGACCTGAGTATATAAACTCAGCAGTGTTCTTGTGGAAACATGCCCACCCTCTGGTCTACCCCTGGGTGGCCCCCAATTTTGAGTTGCAAAACCCCTTTAGCCCTGTTAGTGACATTAGCAGTGTTAGCACAGCGAGTGGTGCTACTGTAGCTGAGAGTCCTAAAGGAGTTTTGTGCATCAAAATAAAGCTACCTGGGGGGAGAACAGAGGATGGCCACCATGTTTCTGCAACATGACCGTGCCATCACCCGAAATCTTTGACTAAGCAGCGTCACTAGTTAGCTCCGAAATGACCCAGGTGGTGCAGAGTGTAGAGCAATCAAGGCTAACATTAGCTAACATTGAAGACTGGAGGACTGGCTGCTGGCAGTAAGTACAGCATGTTAACACAGCTAGCTGGCTGGTTGTCAGCAAAGCCAACAGAAAATAAAGTAAAAGACATTTTCATCACAAAACATTCAAATTTTACCCTCTCTATATTGATAGTGCTTTGAAATGCGGTGCCAAAGATCACTGAGTCAATGATTACCAATTAACGGGTGTCAGGCTATTGAAAGCAAAATTAATTGAAACTGACATCCCTAGTTACAACTACTCTGTGTTAGAACCATATCCGGTCTCCCCTACGGTGTCTTTGCACATAAACACATGCAGCCTTCTCCTTTGTCTCCGTCTGCCCTTTCCTTATCTTAACAGTGACTCCTTCACCTTCACTCACTCTACACTCACTTCTGTTTGTTTTTCTTGAGCACTACTTGAAAGCAATGCTCTCCCTCTTTCTCTCACATTCCACTTTTAGATATGTTGGTTGTGAGCAGACGTGTAACCAGACAGCACTTTTGCTGCTGCACACACTCTCGGTGTAAAACTATCACCCTCTCTCACATCGCCCATCCTTACAGCTTTGGTTTTGCAAACACCTCTTCTGCCATAAAACATAATGACAGCGTGGGGGGAAAGTCACTGCTCCACATCTCCCACTTCATCCATCTCTCTCTCTTTAAAAAAAAAAAGAAAGAAAAAAACACCTGCAAGCCATTCATGTCTCCACAAATCTGTCTCCTCCCGTCTCTCCACGTCGCTCTCCCTTCCCTTTGCCCCTGTCAGCTTCTTTCTAATCTTTCTACGCAGAACAGAAAGAAGCTGACAATAGGGTGGGACACGTGTCTCAGATGCACTAATGTCCATTCCAGAAAGGACAGAGGGCGCAGATAAGATTTTGTGTTTGATGTTACACATCAGGCCTGATAACACATTAGAGAGAAAGAGAAAGAAGTAGAGCAGATTCTGCTGTCGGCTGTCAACTTCTCACATCCAGACCTGGGTCATGGAGTATAAAATGTGTGTATGTGTGTAGACAGCCTGTGCCAAGAAACTTTCAAAGTTAATTTAATACAATTTGTGTGATCGACGATTTACTTGACAAAATGTGAGTCATACTTAACCAAGCAGGTTACAATAAAGTGATCACGTCCATTAATATCTGTTTCACAGCTGTTTGACACTTGATTCTGTCTGACATTTGTGCATTTAGCTGACAGACTGATAATTGTTGAATATTACAGTAGGTCTTGGCTTACAGTTCCTTGCCTGCTCATAGGTTTGGACTTGCACATAAGCGTTTCAGTGTTTTGACATGGGGGAACAGGGGAAGGGTTTTAGCTTCTGCTCCAGGCCCTGAGTTGACAACTTAAACCATCATTTTGCAGAAAATCAGCCTGCTTCGTTTTTGGCAGTGAGGCTGTCTCTGGCTAGTTATGTAAGGGAATTAACACTGTCATATTTACACCTTAAATTCCTGTCTGGGAAAGCATATGTTTTGCTTGTGCCTAAATTAAACATTAATTGATCCGCTTACTATTCAAATGAGAGGATCAGGAGTGTTGCGAGTGGATTAAAAATGTCCACCTTTCCCAGAGCCGCTGAGTTTCACACATCCATGTTGAAATACTGTATATATCTTACAAGTGCTCTGTCCAGACTCTAACTAAGGAAGACATTCCAATAGTCAAAGGATATGACCTCTTCTCCGTTCGGAGGCATATTATCGTTTTCTGAATCATTTACTGTGAGATAAGCCATCTGTAGCACGGGCAGACCTGCACCGTCAAGAAGAATTCCCCTGACAAGCTGCACCGTCTGGCCCAAACAATGAAGCAGATGCCTCCTCCTCAGAGAACTTGTTATTGCTCAGGACATCAATGAGACAATCACTGAGACTGGTGCTGCCTTCAAGTGCTCGTTGGAAACTCCTGTTGCAAGGTTGAGACTCATAAAAAATGAGTTGTCTCGTTCAGATGCCTCCGGGCAGAAAATGATAGAACTGACATAATCGAGGTGTGTATTATTTTTTGGAATCACGCGGCACAAAAAAGACATTTGGCAGATGTTTTTTGTCTGAAACAACAAGTTTTCTCCCTTCACACAGCACACGCATATCAGAGGTTGCTAAATTACCAAAAAAGGCAGGAATCATTTATGACCGCCAGGAAATGTATAACATATGTAGGCATAATGATTACTTTTGTGCCAAAACTTTTTCATGCACTACAACATAGAGACAGAGTGAACATGAAAACACATATCAGTGCCAGCTACACAAAATGCTTCTCACTTCATGGTCTACTTTCTTTCCTTCTCAGCTTTGTATTTGTGTTATTTACTGAAGTTGAAATATCTCGAGAAGCTGCCAAACTTACTTCTGTGATCTATAAGCCATTCAGTGCCTGTATACCTGCACACATAGTAGTAGTTTTCACTGTTTTATATTGAAAGGCTCCCTTGTCTTTTTTCTTTGATGTGCATGTTTGGGAAGCCTTTTCCAGTTTTTCATGGATTCCTTGTAGTTTTTATTTTAGATTTTGTTTTATTCTTATTTCAGCATTTCATACATGCAGAATAGTTTTGACATCATTTCCATTTCACTTTCCATCATTGTCTTTACAAAGTATCCAGCTGCCTTGCCATCTATCCAGTCTTTTACAACTGAATGTACAGTGCGACGTACATAAAATCCGAGGAGGGAGATATAGATATATAGATCTCAAAGGAAGATTAAACACGGACAAGCAAAAACAAAAGAAAGAAAATAATTTAAAAAAGAGGAGGAAGAGGGAGTATGAGTGTTCAGATTCCCTTAACAATTTCATTACAGGGTTCATTCAACCTCTATAAATTTGTGTCTTTGCAGCCTTATCACATATGTGATCTGTTCCCTGGTAATTATTTTTGACAGTACTTAGAGTTGGCATATGCACAGTATATGTGCAACCACGCATGTATTTTATTTATGAACAGTCAGTGGTTTCAGAAAGCCCTTCACTTTCTGCCCACTTTATTGTGTTATACAATGAACTTTAAATGGATAAACTGGCCATTTTTGCTCGTCAGTCCAAACCACAGTAACAAAGTGAACACTCCTTTAGAAACTGTAACAGATTTATTAAAAAATCTAAACTCTAGTCAGTTATTTTCACAAGTATTCAGATCCTTTGCTGTGAAACTCCACATTGTGGCCAGGTGCATCCTGTTTGCTTGATGATGTGGAGTCCACCTGTTGCAAACTGAACTGATTGGACACAGCTAAGAAAGGCACACACCTGTGTATATAAGGTCCCACAATACACACTGCATGTGAGGTCCAAAACAAAGCCAGGAAGTCACTGCATGTGGAACAAGTCTGGTTTCAGTTTTATGTGCTCTCTTGTCTCAGATGTGCTCACAGGTTTCAGCTACACTTAACACAAAAATATAATATCATGATAAACATCTCGACCAGGTGTGTTGTCACGTAGACAGCAGATATAATGAGAATATCCTCCACAGTGTAACCACCTAGTCCATGTCCCACCTATAGGTGTCGCCAAAGATTTCTTTCTTTCTGTGTCTCTGCTGGGGAAACTATCAGTGAGGTGCAGACAGGACATCTGAAAAACATTATGCAACAGATTTACAGTGAGAATGTTTGCTTATAGGATAAAAAATTTAACTCAAATAAACAAGATGAGTTGGTGTGTGTTTTGTGTGGCCGGTGTAGCCTTAAATAGAGTTTATCTTTATTCATGTAAGCAGGTCTGAATACATGTTCAGTCGCTTAAAAATGATAATATCTTCCCAAACTTACACAGGGAGTTAGTGAGCCATCATTGCAGCCCGTGTTTGATTAATATTTAATGGTGCCACTGAGGTTACTCAGGGACATCTGGTGTTAACATGATGAATCGGTGAAGAAAGTTTTTAAATCAGGTTTTAAGACAGCCTTATTTCTATGACCTCAGAGAATATTGTGTCTTATGTAACAGTTGAAAAGATGAGCTGAACTACTGTACTAGCTGTTTTTCCTAAACTCTTCAGGATTATATTAGTGAGTCATCGCAGATTAAGACAAGAATAGATTTCCATGTAAAACAGAAATAGTTGACGCTATAATACAGCTTAGTCCGGTTCTGTTTTACATGGAAATCTACATTTATTCTTGTGTTGATTTGTGCATACTGACGACAGGGTTGTTTGTGTTTTTGCTCTTTTGATACTGGGTACAGACAGAATGTTCTTTTAACAGTTCACATGTAATTCTGCCAATGCGATAAAGCACGATATGCAGGGCTGTA